AACTCTGGCCGACAAATTGTGCAGTTTGGCTTGATACTCGTCAAGTAGGCTATTTGGTTTCTCGTCCTCGTCCGTACTTTTGCATCTGCTTTTGTTTCAGGGGGGCCGCCGTTATTTCTATTCAACTCCCTGCCAAAAGAACTGTCATTGTGTGACTCCGATTGTCTGAACCTGACGGTATTTATCAAACTAATAATGGCAGTGAATATTTCCCCATCAGGGCAATGATTTGCATGGGATGCTGCATTAATGACAACTCGGAAATACGGGAACAACCGCATCTCGTAGGGGAGACCGGGGCAATTGTAACATATTTTACATTTTTCTTAATAACTCTTAATAACTACTGGAGATAGACTAGTCATCTTTCGTTAAAAGAAACATACAGTATATATGTGCACTAATCAATAATACAATTTATATATTTTCACTTATAAGAACAAGACTAAAGTATTTAATTAAATGCAAGAAGTCAGTGTTACAATTGCCCCGGTCTCCCCTATCTATTCAAAACATGACGCGCTATTTAGTTCTCAAATACGGGACGATTCTGTATTCAAGGCATGGATGATACCCTAGTTGTACTTTAATCTGTGGAGTCAGGATGTTCTTGTAAACATCCTTGTAAGACATAACCTTGTAAGATTCCCAGAGAACGCCACTATCTGCTAACCTGACGCCTGAGCTACTGCCTGTACAATATCATTCTAACTGTCGTCTCCCCAACGTCGACAGTTACATAAGAGAAATAGCCAGAGGTAAAAGCTCAGTATACACTTGTGGGGTCACATGTGGACACATCCCTTCAAACAGCTCATATTGATAAACAGAAAGAGAGACAAAACAACCACAGCCTCCCTTCTCCAGAAAACATGCTGTATAAACAATATTTTTATTTCCTGACTGTCCTCATTCCATAACTTATTTTGTTAAATGTTCACCCTGCCCATCAGAAACATGTGCTGTGTGTTGAAGAAATATTCAAGTTCAGGTGTGAAGAAGTTTCGGAGATTGATGAAGACTTAACATGGCAACATTGCGTGCCAGCATACAACATGTGACCACATCAAATGCCAACACCAAATCTCAAGTATAACCTTTGGTCCGGTTTATTAGGTTTCTGTCTTCCACTAGTGCCTGTAGGTTTTCCCTCTTAGCTAATCTTTCTAAGCTAACAAATCTGTCTAGAAACACCTATGTGATGTTTAGATTATAAAACGTCACACTGAAATCTATTACTAGGGTTGCCACCTTCATTACAGAAAAATTAGGGAGGTGTTGTCGTAGGCAAAAACCGCTGTGCAGATGTCGTCCACTGTCATCCCAACGTGCAACGCCACTGAGGAGGCGACGCCCTTCGTGGAGTATGCTCTGTTGCCATTTACCGGCAGACACATAAGCCTGGGAAATGGCATTGCACAGCCAGTGAGACAGGCGCTGCGCCGAAAGGGGAAGTCCCTCGGACCACTCCCTGTAGTGCACAAACAGACGCTGTGAACGGCACCAGGCGGCCGTGCGCGCCAGATAACAGGACAGCGCTCACACCGGGAAGAGGAGGTGGGATGTGGCATCCTCCACCAACCCATGGGGGGGGAGAAAAGAACCCGAGAGGGTGATGATCCGTGACTGAAAGGAGTTTGTAATGCTTTTAGGCAGTTAGGGCGCAGAACAGCCAAGCTGCCGTCGGCCTGAAAGTTGAGACACGATGGAACTAGAGAGAGGGGAGCCAGATCTCTGACTCTCTTGGCCGATGTCAGAGCCAGGAGCAAGGTGACCTTAGCCGAAAGGAATCTCAGGTCCGCCGTCTCTAAAGGCCCAAACGGGGCTTGGGTTAAGGCATGTATACAGCGGCAAATCCCACTGTGGGGCAAATGGCCCCGTCACCGGCCTCCGCCTCTGCCCCTAAGGAAACTCTTCACCAGGTGGAGGGAGAACACAGTCCTGTCCCTCATGACAGGACGAAATGGCGGCAGTGTAGGTTTTAACTGTACTGAACGCCACCCCCCATCCATGAGCAACTGGAAAAACAAAAGCACCGCTGTCAACGGACAGGCGACCGGGTCCGTCCCCTGGTCCAGACACCAGCATTGGAAAGCCGACCACTTAGAGAAGTAAGAGGACTGATGGGAGGCGGCCCTCGACCGCTGGATGGTGCGAACCACCTCCCGAGAGACTTAAGCCCTCCAGGCATCGCCTCTCAGTGGCCAGACCCAGAGAGGCTGGCTGAGGAGCGGGTAACTCCTGATCGCAACCCCCGCCTGAGAGAGAGCGTCCCCCCTCCAGGGAAGTTTCCACGGCTGCCCCGCCAGCAACCACTGAAGACAGGGAAACCAGGATGCGCTGGTGCACTCCAGGGCCACCAGAGTCACTGCCAAGGTTGAAAACTGCAGGCGATCCAGAAGGTGCGGGATCAGCCACCGGCGGAAAAGCATACTCCCAGCGCGGGCTCAGTGAAAACCAAAGGGCGCACTGAGCATTCTCCTTGTTGGCAAACAGATCCACCTCTGCCCTGCTGAACCGGGGCTAGATCTGGTCGCCAGATCAGGATGGAGGGTGCCACTCGTCTGGGCGAGGGCCCCCCTTCGACATGATGTCCGCCCCTCTGTTCAGCACATGGAGAGCAGGTGAGTGTGCGCCCACAGGAGCAGCCGCCTGGCCAGACACAACAGCTGCGCCGAGCGCACCCCGGCCTGGCAGTTTATGTAGGCTGCCGCGGCCCTGTAGTCCTGCTTGATGCACAGATGGATGGCCAGCCTGATCCGCTGTGATAACAGGCTGCAGGTCATCTCCTACCTCCCTCCTTCGCTGGGATTGTGGAGACTGTGCTCTCCTCCTCGGCTCAGAACACCGCCCTCTGAGCGGAGCTTCAGGAATAAGGGGTTCTATTCCCGCTACTTCCTGGTCAGGAAGAAGACGGGCGGTGAGAGGCCCATCCTGGACCTGTCACTGTTCAACAGGGCGATTATCGTGAGACCTTTTCGCATGGTTACAGTGAAACAGGTGATGGAGTGTGTGCACCAGGGAGTCTGGCTCTCCTCCATCGACCTGAAGGACGCGTACTTTGAAATGAAATGAAAACCGCAGAAACTTTCTTTCAAGTGTGTCGAGGCGGCCCTGGAGCCGCTGCGGCTGTCAGGTATCAAGTTCCTGTTTCATCTAGACGACCTGCCCCGGGACGAAGCGGTGGTGCAGACGGCCCAGCACGTGCTGGTCCCGCAGCAGAGGGGAGAATGTCGGATCACCTTCCACACTGTGAGGAGCTCCACCACATTTATATGGAGAGGCCTGCGGCCCTGCCACGGACCACCCACCACCTGAGAAAGGTAGGTGAGTCTCTGGGAGGGGAGAGGAGCACTCTTCTTCCAGTTCACCGTGAAGCCCAGGTAAGACAGGTGTGCGACTAGCTGGGAGAAGAGTGGAACCATCCAACTCCCGCTCTTCTGTCAACAGCAGATCGAGGGCTTCGTCCAGAGAGCAGGTGCACCGCCATACCTCCTCATCCTGAACGGCAAGCTATCCGCCCAGCCATGCCACTCTTCGGGGGAGAGAAGGGCGCAGAACGGTCAGTGGGAACCAAGAGTGAGCACTCGGCTGGCGTGCTCCGGCCCGAAGCTTTGAGACATGGTAATGAATGAAAAGCTCATGGAATCGCTTTCTTAAATTTAGCTACAGCACTATCAGATAGACAGCTCATATAGAAATGTTTGCCTACTGGCATGTAGTCGAGCAATAGGACCTAAAATGCAAATTGAATCTAATAGAGATAAACACAGTACCAAGGCTATCATTCTTAATGTCCACATGAATATTAAAAACCCCTATAATAATAACTTTATCTGTTTTAAGGACTAAAGGATGGTCGTCTTACTTAAGTAAAAGATCTAAGCACTGCCTCAGAAAGTCCCATATAATGGCAATTTCTTTTTTAAGTTAAAAGAAAAGATCTGAGCCTTTTACAAAAACTTGCTGAGAAACATTCTTGATGGCATGCAATAAAAACTGACATTTGGCTTTATTGTGGTGACACTGATTACTCGTTCATCTTGTTCCAAATCAAGTTCATTTGTTCACAGGAAGCCTAAGGCTGTTTGACTTGTTTATTCATTAGTATTTGAAATGTGTGCAGGGTTTTTCCCAGCAGAATATAAAGCAGTTGAAATTAGCTTCACCTTGTTCTCAGCTACAACTCGAGTTGGGCGATCTTCTCTTTTTTCATATCATCCACTCAAGCTCCCGATAGACGATCCAATCCCAGGGGCCGTGTTACGTAGCAGCGTGCCAGTGAAATGCCAGCATAGAAGATTTAGGCTTAGTGTCAAAGAGTGACATCACATATTTGGGCCTATTCTTATCTTTAATATCACAATCCAAATCATATTCATAACTTAACTTATTATGTGGGGTGTTAGATCCACAGAAAGAGAAGGCAGACAAATTGGTTGGTAGTTAAGGATGTAAAATTTGTGGTAATAGCATGCTAACTTCAACAACCTAGCTGTATTCTAACGTGAACATATACTTACTATACTTATTAGCTAGACTCCTTACATGCTTGATTATAACTTATATTATAACTTTGAAGTTGGGTCTCAGACATTGACAGGGTTGTGTTAAAAACATAGATAGACTAACTTCTTATAGTTAACTTGAAGGGTTTAGTTTTTCTTTTCTCTTATTCGACTTATTTGTCTTTGATTGTTGAAAAGCACTTTCTTACCTGTACTGAAAAGTGCTGTATTAAAGCTATAATTGTTATTATTAAGACAAAAAGGTTGAATCTGTAACAATGCATTGTATTTTTTAAGGTTTATCATGTGGGAATTCTCAAGTACTTCAATATTATACTTAAGAACAGTACTTTAGTAAATGTACTTAGGTCATACATGTGACATTTTTGATGTTTTGTGAAACAGGTGATAGGTGAGATGTTGGGCGTGTGACTGGACAGCTGGGCTTGTGTTGGAGGTAGGCAGGGAGGAGGGAGGAGGAGAGAAGAAGGGTATTAAAGCAGGTGCATTTCTGATGATATGGACTTGCAGCGATGGCTTTCTACAAAGTGATCTGTGTGGCAACTCTGCTGACTCTCCTGACACAAGGTAAGAACCCTCCTCACTGTGCACAGAGGAAGTAGAATATTTAAATTAAGTAAAAGTAAATAATATATTGCATTTTTAAATAGATATATATAATATATATAATCTGCACGTGAGCAGTAACTATAGACATCTGTTAAATGTAAAGGAATAAAAATAGTTTTGCACTGAACTCATGGCTTTGTTTAGACTGAATTACAACTTCGCCTGGATGCATAAAAGTGAAATAGCATACATTCATTCCAAAGGACTGCTTCAGTGTTGTTGTTTAACATGCAGTATGACAGTAACAGACTACTCTGTATTAGCAGATCATTATGAAAGGAAATTTGAGGCAGCTGAGAGAAATAAATTCTATATTTTTTGTCATTCACTGTTTGCATTCATTCTATGAGAGAAACATCAAGACCTTTTCCTTTCTGTATACCTTTGCCAGCTACAGAGCACACACAGTTTAATGCCTATAAGCACATAGACACAATCAAACAGGTGCTCAATGGCAACCTAACCCTGAACTGATAACAGCATCTTAAACAGGGGAACTGCAGAATCCGTAGAAAAAGTAGTAAAGAATTCCAAAACAATCAAATTTGGGAGCTATGCAACCCTCTCCTCCTATTCCTTTCTTTCCTGTGTCTACTTGAACCAACTTTTATGTTAGAACGGTATGACTGCTAGCATGCAGGTGTGCTCTGCTGATCTTCGTCAGATTTTGCGTTTCACCCATAAAAGTCTTTTATTTTAAAGACTTTTAAAAAGTCTTGTCTTCTTGTCACATGATCAAATAGATTGGGAAACAATATACACATATTACCCAGCAATCATGATTGCATACCAATAGGGGAGGTGTTGGTGGAGTGGAGTGGATGCATGATACAAAATTGCTATTTTCAAAGTATTTTTTTTGTTTGTTTTATGTTTTCAGAGTCTCATTCACAACTAAATAGTAAGTCAAAGTTTCTACTCACACTTCTTTACTTCCTGTCTGTCTGTCTGTCATTAAAACATTGAAAACATGCTTTTGGGACATAAACATGTTGTTAATAGTTACATAGCTACAGCTATTGTTAATATTTGCTCACTGTCTTTGTCTCTCTCCTCAGTGTGCGGTAAGCCTCCGCTCAACACTAAGATTGTGGGAGGAGAGGTGGCCTCTGCAGGCAGCTGGCCCTGGCAGGCCAGTCTGCAAGGCTCTGGGTCCCACGTCTGTGGAGGATCCCTCATTAACAATCAATGGGTGCTGACTGCTGCTCACTGCTGTGCAATGTAAGCATTGATGGTAGAGCCGCGACAAAAAACAACATGCCATGCAGTGGCATAAACAGCCTGTGTGAGGCTGTGGTTCTCAAAGTGGGGTTTGGGATCTCTCCAAGGGGTCGCATGATAAATCTGAGGGGTCTTGAGATGATTGACAGGACAGAACAAAAATTGTTCTGCTATAAATTAAATTATTTTATCATTCATCATCAATCAAGAAGAAGAACTGTGTTGTTTCAACCTGTGATGAAGGGTAGAAGCAGATAATGATTCATTATGAGTGGTCACCAGCCAACAAGGTTGGGAAGAAGAAAATAGGCACTTAAGGAAGAGTTTTGGCTTCATTTTAGGTTAAATTTTTGTCCTACGTAGCTTAACAACTAACAAGTGAGTGGCCCAAGAGCCCCTCCAAGCAAGTCAGGGGCCAGACTGATATCTGACTAAAAGAAGCTATAATTGATATTTTTATAATAACAAATGTGACAACATTTGAAACCACTGACTCCCTGACTTCCTGAGATTAATTTGTTCCCTCAACCTATTCTCTATTAACAGATATCTGTATATGCAACCCATTCTCACTCCCAAGTCGTCATGTCACGTAAATGAATCTTTAGTTTTATGGAGGTCTCTGCTGCAACAGATGCAACTAACATGGACTATATGTATAGACTGAAACGAAAATTAGGTAATTAGGACTTGAGGTCATAAAAAAGTTAATTAAGCCCATGAATAACTTAGTAGAAGGAATGATTTATAATATAATGAGGATAAAAATTAGTAGTTCTTCTGAGTGATATCTTTCTGTTATCTCTCCGTCTATTAGGCTCTATACAAACTAGACCAGAAGTGGTTTTAAAAGGACCTAAGTGCCTGCTTGACTAAAGTTCTGCTTTCCATGACTTTGCACTGTTTTGTTTCTCTTCTGATTACCTCAGAGAAGACATAAGCACGAGCACTCTGACTGTGGTTCTGGGTCTCCAGAGTCTAGAGGTACCAAACCCCAATCAGGTGTCTCGGAAAGTCTCAAAGATCATCATTCATTCCGACTATAATTCCAAAACTTATTACAACGACATCTGCCTCCTGAAGCTCTCCTCACCGGTGAAATTCACCAAATACATCCAGCCCGTCTGCCTGGCAGCCCCAGGCAGCACCTTCTACAACGGCACTGAAGCCTGGGTCACCGGCTGGGGCAGAAGCAGATATGGAGTGAGTCAGAAAGCACCTGGATTACATTTATTTTCAGAGTCTGACTACTTGACTACTGACTACAACTACTGACTTGTAGTTTCTCCTTTACCTGTCCGATAGAGATATACAGGAGATAACAAAACGATACTCTAATACAAAGCTTGTTTTCTTTTAGGATAATTTAAGAGTGACTTTGACTGTTCAGTTGGTAGAGTACAGGACTCTCAGCCTAAGGGTTGTGTGTTTAATCCCCTCTTTAAGTGGATATATTTTTTATTTATCCTCTTCAACAAATTAATTATGAGACTGTTTTACATGCTCACGATAACACATGTGCTGGAGAGTGTGTGTCCCACATTGGTCTATATTGTCAAGCTGTTGAGTAGATATTGTTAAAACACAAGACATATCTTAAGGAATTTTTGTCATAGTTACATTTTATATTTCATCTTTCTTACTGAAAATAAAAAAATAAATGTGCACATTAGCTGATGTTTACTGTCAAAAAAGTGGTCAATAACATCAGATTCACTTTATGATAACACTGGCAGACAAATGTACAGTACGTGCACTTTATAAACCCGGATGATGTTCTGGCTGTCCTTCCTAGCCAACATCGTTGTCCTCTTCTACTCTGCATTTTAGCTCTTTAGCTGCTCTTCAGACTCCTGAAGAAAAATGGAAGCTGACTATACGTCACACCCCAATGTATAGGCAGGGTGAGGCTCATCACGTCGCTGGGCGTGGAGAAAGCTCTATTAGTACTGCGCTTATGAGCGAGGGATAAACCCACTAGCGATGGCTGGAGTCTGTAATAAAATAGAAATATCCATTTTGTGTACAAACATTTTGAAACATATTTCACCCCTTGTGTTGATTACTAAACTGAATTTGTGTCTCTTCAGCATTCTTTCCTCTTTCAGAAGACCTAAGGGAGGTGCAGGTGCCGATTGTGGGGAACAGACAGTGTAAGTGTAGCTACGGAGTGGGCGTCATCACAGACAACATGATCTGCGCCGGGGTAGGAGGGAAGGGCTCCTGTCAGGTGATCACTTTTATATCTGTTTTTGTGTCAGATTTGAGCTTCTGCAAAGCTTCCTTCTCTTAAATGTTTCTTTCCTTAAAGGGGGATTCGGGAGGTCCGCTGCAGAGCAAGCAGGGCGGCCGCTGGATCCAGGAGGGAATCGTGAGTTTTGCAGTAGGCTGTGCCGAGACTCAATTCCCAACAGTCTACACCAGAGTGTCCCGTTATAGGTCCTGGATCAACAAGCAGATCACCAGCAACCAGCCAGGCTTCAAGACCTTCAAGTCCACTGGGATGGACGGCGACCTCAGTGTCACCTGTCCTGGCCTGCCACAAGGCTACTAATGTAAGTGCCTGCCATGTCCAGACTTCAATTTTTATTCTACATTTCGCCTCAGAAAGCTATAAAATTATATATTTTTCTTCTTCAAAACACAATTTTGGATGCAATACAGGCTGAGGTACAGTTGTTCGCACATTAACACACTAACTAGGTGAAGTCTAACTGAGAGCAGACTGGTTTTTGGATCAAACAATTTTGGATCCCATGGTACTAGTGTTGTAGTCAAGACCGCCCAAACCGAGACCAAGTCAAGACCAAGACTTTTAGGGGCTGAGACCAAGTCGATTCGAAGTCCTGATTCGACTACCAATCTCACAGTTGAATCTTCGCAGTGGCATTGTGAAATGAGGATCATGCCATTTTGGTTATGTGGGGGGCTCAATGGCATATTTTGTTTTCTCCCACTAACTTAATATACGGCCTATGGTCATATATAAACATCAACGTATAATGCTGTTTAAGATAATATAAAAACAAACAACTTTTAATAAATTAATAAATAATAATACAAATCTTAATAAAAGTGTGTGAATAAATGCAAAATTGTTACCCTAACCTTGAGTGTGCATGTGTGGGTGCAGCATGTGTGGTAGAAGAGGAAGAGAGCTGGAGCACCAGCTGCGGTGTTGTGCACAGTTGTGCGTGCACTTCGCAGGATGTTTGAATCATTTATCACCATTGATGAACCACACTCAGAGTATTATATGACATTACATTCATTTAGCTGACGCTTTTATCCACAGCAACTTATAATTGCTACATATGTCAGAGGTAGTACGCCTCAGGAACAACGAGGGATTAAGTGTCTTGTTTAGGAACACATTGGTGGATGTGTCACAGCCTCCCACACTGAAGGCATGTGTCTTAAAAAACTGTATTGCTTGTTTGGACTAGTCTCACTTTAAAATGAGCACATTTCAAGGCGTCTCTGGAAATATACTTATTCACTTTACACACTCACAAGAGAGCTTGATGAGAAGGCAAAATGACATATTGATCGTACAGCACATTTAGAAAAAGTTAAGATTATTTTCCGTTTCACAGAAAGTTGGACTTGAACACATCTGTCCTGTTTGTTTGTTCAGGGTGATCTGGCGGTGAGCAGAGCGGCTCTTGGTTCCAGGCAGCAGTGTTGTTGCCTTCCTGGCTCAGACTCCACCAACACCACCAGCAACAACATCATAGCTGCCGGCAACATACCAACTAGCAGCGGGGGCGCTCCTGCTCACTCCCCCTTCCTCTTCTTCCAATTCCTCATCTGCTTTCTCTCTAAAATGAAGGGTGTTAAATGAATAAATGAATTGTTTAAGCAGCACGAAACAAATGTAGGTATATGTAGCCTGGCATACGAGCGTGTCAAGGTTTTTGAAGGATCCAGACGTTATGCAAAATACAAGATGATGATTTGTCATTTACAAAAAACTTCCCCCTCAAATAACTGAAAACAGGATGGTGTTTATTGATTACATTGCAGATAGAATTAAACTAATGCTGTCATGGGAATTTCTTACAGTCGTTAACAAATGGATTTAAAAACTTAAGGAGCATATTTTAGAGGTCAGAGGAACACATGTCCATCATCTACCTATCTGAGCTAGTGTACCTTAATGTACAATTATATCTAAAGTTAATAAGCAGCTAATGCTCTAAAATACTTAAACTGAACTTTATATTGATAATAATGTCAATTTTAAGTCTTGTCAAGCTTTGCTGTGGCAACAACTGACCTGTAGATGTGAAAGTGCTGAACTATTAACCTCTTGATTTTTTTATCACAGTAACCTGGTTTTTAATTAAGGGAAATCCTTTCTGTCGGCTTTGAGTACATGTATGAACTCAACTAATCAGTCTAATCCAAATGTCCTGCAGTAAATCCTCCTTCATGATGGTTATAATCTGTTTGTGTTAAAACTGTTTTAGAGACGTGTTGATTCAACTGCATTTGGAGGCTGAAGTTGTGTTCTTGAAGCCACGCTTGTATCAAAATAAAAAAGAATTGAGCAAACGAAGATACGCTCACATTTATTGCGACAGTTGCTGAAGTGAATATGAAAACACACACTCATATATCAAATGTGAACACAAAGATAAAATGTCCACATTCACAAAAATCTGTTTGTAAATTCATGCTATCAGAGTTTCACACCATTAGAATATTTTCCAAAAAAAAAACAATTGAATATTTGTTATATGTTTTCACTCATATTTAACTCACAAAGTTCCGCCCGTCCTCAGACTTCTCTCCTGAGGCCCCTCTAACGTATTACCCCACTTTATTAGTGGAACGTTCATTCAGTAATAATTTCATTATAATTTTAAGCCCAATTATATGTGTAGCTAAGGGCAGGCTAATTTTGGTTCCTACCTGCCGTTGTTTTGCAGGGAACAGTTGAGTGTAACAAGTCAATTTGTTTATAAAACACATTTAAAAACCACCAATGTTGAACAAAGTGCTGTACAAAGTTATGTGATTAAACCTGTTAAGCCATGAATTACGAGGTACCGGGGAGGACGATTGATGTTCGCGCAAAATGCTATTGAGAAATCCATGTCAGTTACTAGTATTTTGTCACCCTATCCATGCCACACCCTGTGAAGCTAGGAGGCTCAAACCAACCATTTTGGTACTCTATGCTCAAATTAACTTACACTAGTTGTATCATGTTTTATTTCACTCACTCATTTTGCAAACAGACACAGAAGTTAGAAGCAGGGGTGTAGAAACTAAAATCAGCAGGGAGTGGTATACAGGGTTGGACTTAGTTGGGAGCCAGTGGGTGGCGTGTAAAAATTCAAGACTTGGGCCAGATAAGAAAGCTTGAACTTTTACCAACATTTTTATAATCAACAAAAACAGACACCAATTAGAACACAAAAGTCAGAGATCGGTGCAAAATAGAGCCCCATTCTGTTACCAGAACAGAGACCCGAGTCGACATGAAAACCATGTAACGACTGACTTTCACCTCCTTTTGGACCTCCTTTTATAGCTCTGTTTCTTGGCTTCACATCATCTATTGGCTCTCTTTCCTACTGCACCTGAATCTGGGAAAGTCCCTGACTGCCTGCTCCTCCTCTCTGTGTACTTTGCTTGATCATGGCATTTCATCCATAACCTGACTTTTGTGGAATAAACTGGTGTTGTTTGTGCTCTGTGCTAGAAACAGGACATTCTTACTGTGATGCACTATATTGATGTATGTTTTGTAATACAATTTTCACAAAATCTGCTTGTATATTTTCCTTTGCAAGTGTTTTTGATGCTCCCTCCCTTTGCTCCCAAAGCACAGTGCTTGCTCACACACATGTGCTACTGCTGAGTCTGGGCAGTTAGATACAGAAAGGAGCACATACACTCAGAACTATAGAGTTTTAACACTGTGATCCTAACTTTACACTATAAAATAACATTTTAAATCATGAAAATGTAGACCACCATTGCTCTAGTGATTAATGATAACAATTTAGGCTGTAATGCTCTAAAAAAAATCACAACATGGGAGCTCAGCTCACATAAGGAGGTCTGAGCTCAGTAAAATCATTCTTCTACGGGGTCTCTAAATCATTTATCAACAACCATTATTTTGAATTACAAATAATGTGTTTTTCATTGTAATTAGTACTATTATTTAGGCTACATTAAAAAGACTAAAATTAACATATTTTTCTAATAAGCCACATTGCGCGCCGCATGATTGACAGGAAGGCTGCACTTCTCCGCCATCAGCCACTATGGTGCGCAGTACAGTTTTGACGGAACAAACAAACAACAACATGAATTCAGTTGTATTCAGTGCTTAAAGTCGGCCGGTACGCACCTCAACATTTTACTCTTTGGTGTACCGGGACTTTTTCTTGCGATATGGCACAAACTACCGGTAGGCCTTCCACAGTCCTCTGCGCTCTCCATATCAGGTTCTCTGGGCGCCACGTCACGCTCACCTGCCCCCGTTCTCACCTGCCTGCTAATCTCTGTCGGCAGAGAGAGAGCAGGGAGAAAAGAGGCTCTTTCAAGCAGCAGTGTGCCGAAAGTAGCTTGTCAGTGTCAGTTTTGGTGAACCAACCAATCAGTTGAAATATAGAAGAACAAATGTGAATCTAAAAAACTAACTTAAGCTAAAACAACAAGCTGCTGATCGCTGCATTATAATCTACTGTATTTTATATATTTTGAATTGTCCTGCCACCTTAATTTTGTTTCCCTTCATATAAATAAACATTTCCACCATAAGTTGGTGCAGAAAATGTCTCCAGAATGCAGGAAATTAAGTTGAAGGACCCCCAGACCCCCCCACTGATATATTTCAACATTGAATATTTATCCATAATACTGTTAAAAACTTTTCGTTTTGTTCTCATTCCCCAAGTGACCCCCACAAAACTCAGATTATAACTCAAGGCTGAAAAGGGTCCATTTTATTGTAACACACACTGTGTTAAAAGAGATGCTAGCAAAGTAAATAAGCCAGTACTCCGTTTGATGCACATCCAGCAGCTGGTTGTTTTTACCCCGGCTTCATTCTTATCCAACTTTCTCACCCAAACACAGCTGAAATTGCTCCTCGCCAGAGTTGAAACACAAACCTTAAACCTTTGCAGGAAAATCAAGCTAGCAGACACGTCATCTGCAGCAACTGAACCAAACATGTAAACATTATTCAGCTGGTAATAACAAGTTAAAAAAGAAAACACTGACCTAATAAAAACTACAAATCTTACCAGTTGGCAGACTAACTTTTACCTTTGGAGGATAATGCAACTTAAACCCTTGACGCCGATTGTCGCAAATTCTCATCACACCTCTTCCTTCAGACTGCAAGCCAAGATAGCACATGGATTCCCCAATGCCTGTGGGTGCATATTCCATTCGTACCTAGGAACCTTTTGCAAGCCCTGGTTTCTCGTTTATACCTGTTGTCGCTAATTTGCATCATACCTACACAAACCTGAATTTATATCTTTCTATGTTCTATAGACAAATTAACAATCTTCACTTAATATAACAACAGCTTAAAAGCAAATGAAAACACAAATAACTTCAGGCACCAAGGGTTAAATTAGTGAAAGTTTTGGTCACTTGAATTAATGCCATCCAACCGTAGTCAACCGGTGCTACTATGTGACATGACTCAGGGGGTGTGTTCACAACTTAACTGGGCAACCACCACTACTGTTTGAATAATTTTCCATGACATTCTTCTTTTTCTCTCACTATCCAGGTGTTTTCCGTGACTGAAAAACTGATGAACTGTTTTCAAGGTTTTCCAGGACGCATGGGAACCCTGATGATTTTATTGTATACAGCCTCTACAGTAGGCTAAAGTCCATCTGTGGATGGATGGCCAGCTCACACTGTGTGGTACCACAGACTGTAGATACTTCACTCAGTCTGAAAGCGAAAAAGAAAAAACATTTTGTCAGAGAGAGTGAGACGCGCCTGATGCGTGAATTCTCATGAGCTGCCAACATAAGGCCTGGATGATATGGCAGGTGGCAGGACTCTGGCTTGACTTTCCCCAATATTGGACGTAAATTCAGCTACTTTGTCATTTTCAGACTTTAATTGATGGAATTATCATCGTCATGAAAATCCAAGATCCGTGACCCTGTACACAGGACAAGCGGTTGACGATGAGTGAGTGAGTAAACTGGGTCCAGCATTAGACAGACCAACCAGGAACCGCACCATCGCAGTACTAATACAAGTTGGCTATAACCACTGTGGGGTTTCTGGCAGCCGGCTGTTACACTCAACAATATGTAGCCGAGTGTTTACCTTTCTATCTAACGCCCCTTTGTTTAGAATAAAATAATTCTGTTAAACTTGCTGCTTTTTCTTTTGTTTGTGAACCAGCTACAGTAACATTTGTAAAGCTGTTTTCTTTATTTCAGCCATTGTACAGCAGCAGAGCAAGCAGCAGTGACTGCCAATGTGGCACTCTGCACTTCCTGTTGTCTGTAGTGAAGTGTATTTACTATTTATGGATGAGCTTTGACCTCTAGTGGCACATTTTGGTAATTAAAGCTTTTCATAGTCACAGTGATTTCTAGAGGGATATTAAAACTGCAAACTTAGGTGTAAGTAGAAAATGATTTGCAGTCTGTTAGCTGAGAGAAGACAGGGTTAAAGGTGTGTCACTTATTAATGTTTGTGTTTGAATGAGTTTAGTTATAAATGTTACAGATGATCGCAAATTTCCACCCATGTACATTTTAAGTCAAAATAGCACGAGACCTAACAATACTATAAATACAATCCTGTCCGCCTGTCATTTGGGTCATTTTAAACATGTTTTGGGTCATAACGGTTTGGCTTATAATTTCAATATTGTTAGTATTTGCTGTCAACCCCCTATTACTCACTCTGTCTTTAAAATCTCTCTCCTCAGTGTGTGGTCAGCCTGTGCTCAATGACAAGATTGTTGGAGGACAGGTGGCCTCTGCAGGTCTGCAAAAACTGGGTCCCACTTCTGTGGAGGATCCCTCATTAACAA